GTGGACATTTCGGTTGGACAAAAAGCTCATCCACGACAGCTCGATTCTGAAATTTTGGAAACAGCAGACTTGGCAAACTCTACGGATTGCTGCGGCACGGGAATAAACTCGAATTACCAGCGCGAGAAATGTGACTGGGGAGAGGGACATTAAATTAAGTTTTGCGTGTGTCTGTGTTTGTGTGTGTGTGTGTGGCGTCAGTGTGCGTAAAAGTACATGTCTGACAACTCGCGGCTGTAAAGTACTTTTGTCTGGGTGAACTTGTTAAAAGTACAAATGGCTGTGTGGCCGGGTGAGTGCGTAGTGGGGTGGCAAGGGGAGGTGCACGCACAGGGGTATGAGCAGGTGGCGCCCGTGTGATCGATAGGCAGATTAGCGACCACGGGAATGCGACAACCCAGTTAATGGACGTGGGTCGACGCGATTCGTGGCAGGAATGCACAGAAGACGTCGTGCACTTCACTCAACCCTTGAACGCGAGTCGGAAAGGTTTCAGAGACTGAAAAGTGAGTTTCACGTGAACTGTCTTCGGGGACGCCGCAACAGCGTGTTGGTAACTGTGGCCCCTCTGGTTAACATTAGTTGCGACGTCTAGAAGATCATTCGAGTGATCTTAGGTTGACGCAAATAAACGAAATTAAAAATTAGTTGGAGTTATATTTTGACTCCGTGTCTGAGGGCTTTTACAAGCCCGGCATGAAGAAATTCCAGCGAACCATCGAATTTGTGTTCACGAATAAGTACATGTTTAATTTCACGCAACATGTTTGTGCAAGCATCCGGTATCTAAATCGATCTCCGAGTCAACTCGTTGGCGAACATAATAGACAACCTCAGCCAATCCTCTGCCTTTTGCATTTAAACAGCCAACCAGAGACTAGGATGGATGTTGTCGCAGCCAGTAAAGTGGACTCGGATACACGATTCGCGTTCGTGATTGGTCAATTAAGCCTTCTCTGTTAAACTAGTCTTCTTCTCATTAGGGCTCTCGTATTCTACAAATTATGGCTGGTGGATGGTTGGCCAACTAGCCAATCGAAGCGCAGAGATGAGTGCCCACCACCTCCTTTTAAACTGAGCGCAATACGGAGGCGTTTTTAGAAATCACTGAAGGCGTTAAAATAAGTCCCACAAAACCGCCAAAGTTGTGCGATGTTTAAACTTAATGTACACCATTTTTGGTGTCCAAGTTGCTCACAAGACCTGTTTGGTGTGGAGGCGTCGGCTGTCGCACAAACGCACAGCTGTTCAGGCCGCTGAAAGTGCAATCTCACAAGTACTGACGCAGTTCCCTGTTCAGCGGCTCAATCAAACTGTTTTTGTAACGAATCGAGGGCCACCGCAATGGCAGGTGCTCATAAATTCAAAAAGCCAAACACCCGCCTCAACCCGCACCCGCTAAAATCGATGACGGTGCACTCACAAAGCCAGGAGCCCAAAACAAGGTCAGTCGCATTGCCAGAGCGAGTGGGTGCATTGAACCAATCAAACGCCTGCGTACGCACGCCTCACGCCAGTGGCAGCGTGATTACTGGGGGCCTTTTGATTGGTCGAATGCCAGGTGCGTCACCGCGGTATCCCAGGCATTCGTAAACGCGTGAGCAGACGCGGTTTCTTGTCCGATTGCGTGGAGTGCGTTCGAGTCTACTACCAATAAGTACGTGCTTTGTCGCTTTCGTCGATTATTTCTGTCAAACTTGAAAGTTGGTGATTTTAGCAAGAAAAGCACAAATTTGAGTGCTTAGATGTGCCGCGTTACCAATCTGTTAACAAAAACGATAACGACAATGAAGGGAATGTGTTCGCTTCCTGTGGGGTTTCCGCGGATGTTGGCAGGTGTGCAGTTCTTGAGGTCTGCGCCTGAATAGAGACCCCCCAAGAATCGCACCTGCAGCGACGCCATGGCGTGGGGTAGCAAGACATTTCGATCAGCGCGACGTCTGACGGTTGAGTGCAGGCCAATTTAACATCTGTGGCTGACTTAGGCCCTTCATTTACTAGTAAAGCCGTATTTTTATGCAGAATTAACGTGCTGTCACGGTGGAAGGTGCCAAGGTGCCACTAACTTGACTACGCGGCTGTTCATGCAGAAACGTGTATCCGTGTGTCATAGCAACCGCTTTCGCCTCGTGAATTCGCGTGCGCGGCACCACTGTCGACGTGAGTAGTTGACCATCTCTGCAACGACAGCTACGAGAAATTGCCCAGCAGCCAGCCGTCATTGTTTCGGGCAGGCTGGATGTGACTGAGTTTGTATTTCGTGGTTCCAGCTTGGATGCCTCCAACCACGTTCGTGGTTTCCTATGGTGTCACCTCTTGTAAATCCTAATAGACAACCCATTTATCCTTCGCGTGTCATGTTGTCATCAACGGACTTGCGCGAAAGGTAGATCTTTGAATGCATTTAACTGCTTTGGAACCTCACCTGAACGTGCGTGCCTACAATTTGGCATGAAACTCCATGTTATTTGGAGTCTGTGTATGCAGCAACAGTATTCGCTGCCTTATCTATCCCCCAGTGAGAATTTCGGGTTTTGTTAAAGGTCCTAAGTCTTTTCTGTTTCTCCAGGCGACTTATGCAACTCGAAATTTGCCACCTTGTTCTCCTCTCCTGTGCGCTCGCCGCTCGCTGCGCCGAGGTTGTGATGCCCGTGTTCTCGAACTACGTGATGCCGTGCAACATCTCCGAGCTGCCGCAACCCCCCGACCGGGAGCTTTTCCTGTGGTTCCAGGACAGCCAGCTCATTCGCGCCGTCAACCCCTTCCTGCTGGCGCACGGTGAAATCGAGTTCCGCCAGCTGACACCGAGCGCCGCCGGCGTCTACCTCTGCTGCTACGGCGGCGCCGGAATGCGGTGGTGCGCGGACGAGATCCACCTGAGGGTGCTGAGTGAGTGCCACGATTCCACCCGACGAGTTTCACCTTGA